TGGGGTAGAAAGTTTTTTTCTCAAACCTATGCTGATGTTTTATACAGGATGTTTGTCACAGTTTAACTGATACAATTCTCTTAATAATAAATTTAACTCTAACAATAATTAACACTAATGGTGGTTGATGCAGAAAAAGCTTTCAACCAACTTCTGTGGGTTTATTTACATAGTGCTGGGAGTTTATGACTTTCCGGTGAGTTTTCTTTCCATCCAAAAAGCTATTTGTAAGTTCAGCATCAAACTTCTGTCTCGCCAAGAGCCGTCTCCAGTGGTGGAAAGTAACCATCTTGTTTTGCTTCAATTTCGATCACTTCTTTTCTTGTTCTGAAGTTAGCATGCTAACCAGCTAGCCCCAGCAACTATCTCTTCACTTTCCGATACCGAGTCACTGCAGCGTCCAGGCTGCCCTAAAGAAGTAGCGCCGCTCAGAGGGCGTATTATAACCTTCTGTTTTGTAAATGCAACAATTGCTAAAGCCCTTGGCCAGACTGGTAAGTAAACAGCTGTTAATGCTAATGCTGGCTATGTAGCAATAGCAAAACATAGCTCTCTTAAGTAGATGCACAGCACATGGATGCCCGTTGTCACCCTCCCTGTTTGGATTAGCAACTGAGTCTTAGGCTTAAAAATTTGATTTGTTACTCTATTTAGGTAATGCAAACACTTCTATCCCATGTGAAATTGAAATTATGAGTGACGTTTCAAAGCCATCAGGTTATAGAATGAACGTAGGAAAAACAGAATTAATGGTAGCCTAATAGACAGAAGTATAAATATTTTGGGAAATCTAAAACAATTTAAAGTACAAATATTATTAAATATGTTTTTACTACATTAGTGCAGAAAAGCTACAACTATATAAATACAATTTTCTTCTATTCAAAAAGAAGAGATGATATGGTTGCCAAACTTTTTATACATATTTCAGTCTATAACCTTTACCCCACCAAAATCAGTTTTTTACAGAAGTGAATTTACTCCTTTCTTCGTTCAATCAGTGAAATAAAACTCACAGATTAAGGGGAAAATTATTATGGGTGTGTTTGTGTGGGTCAAATCAATATAATTTGATTTTGACAACTATGTAATATGTTGAAATTCAGAGCCTTAATCATGCAAATAAAAAAAAGAAAGTGGAGAACAGTTTATTTATTTGTTTACTTTTGTTACAGGTTGCCAAGGCTCTGGAGCTGAAGCTCAATGAGGTTGACTTCTACGAACCCTTCATGGATGATCCAGTGGTCATCCCTGGAAAGCCTTACACCGAGGATGAGCTGGTGAAATTCATTGAACATAATGACAGGTAAATCCCATTGGAGGTATGCTCAAATAATCTCATGAGGTAAAAGCTTTTCCTTCCACAATTAATATGATAAAATGATAAAAATCTACTTGACCTCTGCTTTTAAAGACCAACCCTGAGGAAGCTGCAACCATACAACATGTATGAGATCTGGGTAAGAAACCCCCAACACTACAACATGGATGAATTAGTTGGAAAAGTTTTAATTTGATGACAACTCCACAACAATTTATGAATTTCCTGAAATTGCAAACTGTAACTTTAACAGGTTATTCTTTCCGCAGGAGGATGATGTTGATGGCGAACATATCATTGCTTTCGCAGAGGAGTCTGACCCAGGTAAAGGAACCCTGAACTGAATATAAAAACACTACCGACAGAAACACCAGTCCCCAATGGCAAATCTAGAAAGTGTTGCATAAGACAGCAAAGAGGTTGGTTAATTTGTCTGTGCTGCAGAGCCATACAGTATTTCTGCAGATGAATGATGTAGTAATTCATAAAAGAATATGCAAACATGGCAGTTACTTTTTAGCATTATGCTACCTGTTGCTGCCCTGTAGATGCAACCCTGTAATGGTTTACCTTTAGTTTCACTTTGGTCTTCTCTCAGACGGTTTTGAGTTCCTGGAGATCCTGAAGCAAGTTGCTGAGGACAACACAGACAACCCTCACCTCAGCATTGTCTGGATTGACCCTGATGACTTCCCCCTGGTAATAATATAATGCAGTGCAATACACTTAGTATGAAAGTGTGCATTTTACTGACATTAACTGATGCATTTTCTTCTTATCTCCTTGCAGCTGGTGCCACACTGGGAGAAGATTTTTGACATTGACCTGTCCTCTCCACAGATCGGCGTTGTTGATGCTGATGATGTGAGTAATATCATTGCTGCTTTATTCCTAGGTAACAAGTGCATTTGTGTGTTTTACTGAACACTGTCGAATATATACAGTAAAATAAGGGTGGATTACCAATCACGTAGAGATGCCCCAGTGCTTCAGGAGCCCTGTAGGCCTCGGATTTGTGCAATTACTTTGTGGTAATTTGGTAAAATACAAGTTTGTTCATTTGAATTTCAATTACAAACTGAAACGGTAAGACCCCGAGGTTGAACTTGCATTTTTCACAAAGTTTGGGCCTTGTGTTATACAGCACGTGTCAAAATCCACTTGTCCTACTATACAAATTTGTGTTTAATCAAATCATCACAGCGTAACCGACAAACAGCAAACCCGGGGCAGGTTTTATCCCAGTGTAGTGTGTTTTTGTGAGTTTTTTTGGGGATCTAAATGAGCCGGGAGAATGTGTGTATATGTGTGTTGCTCAATGGAGACCCATCCACCTTTATTGCTCTCTGGCCCCTAGCAGGTTAATCCATCCACAATGTATATACATGTTTGTTTTGAGACAACAGAGTCTAACCTCCAAAGCTGCAGCCCTTCTTCGAAACCTTAAAGAAACTTGTTGTGAGTTTCCTTCAGTCGGTTTGTCTGTTCTTCTTCTGTCTGCAGGCTGACAGCGTGTGGATGGACATGGATGACGATGACGACTTGCCATCTGCAGACGAGCTGGAGGACTGGATTGAGGATGTCCTGTCAGGAGAAATCGATCCTGATGATGATGATGATGACGACGACGACGATGATGATGATGATGATGATGATGACGACGATGATGACGATGATGATGATGACGACGATGATGACGATGATGATGATGACGATGATGATGATGACGACGATGATGATGACGACGATGATGATGATGATGATGACGACGATGATGATGATGACGACGATGACGATGATGATGATGATGATGATGATGACGACGATGATGATTATTAAATCATTAAGTCATAATTTTCTCTTTAAGTCTGACCAATGCCGTTTCAAGAGTCAACATCATTAACTCTGTCAAAACATCTTCTTTTGTAACTCGTTCTTATGTTGAACTCATCAGTTCATTTTGATATCTCATCTTTTCATCATCCTCTATCTGCATCTCACCAGAACAATATTCCATGACTCGTTTATCCATCTCCCCTTCATATTCACTAATCCTCCATGTAACAAAGTACTCAAGAAGATCCCACGGTATCTTTATTCCCACATGTAACACTGTCTGGTACAATAAAAAAAGAAATTCTTTCAAAACCTTCTACTGCTATTGATTTTTATATTATCAAAGTTTTTACTTTCCAAAGTACTGGAGGGGTTGCAATGTTGTATGCATTATGTCTCAGTCCATCTGTGGAGTCTGTTGCAGTTTGAATGTGTTTTATTTATGTTCACATATCTTTTTTTGTTTGCCCCAGTATCGAAACAAGTGAAGTCAGATCCAAGGGTGCTAGCAGGCTTTTCTGACGGGTCTTAAGTATCACCAGCCTACTCTGTGAAATCAATGTAATGTTGTACACTGAAAGTGCTGTACATCATATGGATGTTTTCTATGATGATGAAATATGACAACAGCCGTATTCTATTTTTGTAACAAGAGAAATTTAACTTACTGTAAAGTCTTAAATAAATGACAGCTTGGACAGAAACCCCACTGTGTGCATGTGTGAATTCTAAGCAAGAAAACACATTATTTTACAGTCATTTTGATGACATAATAATCTGAGTTTCTTAACAAATAAGGTGTCTTAAAAGCTAAATGAGAAACAGAGCTGGACACAGAAAAGTCCCAAAGTTAGTGCACACTTAAAGCCACTACGTTGCTGAAAAAACAGCAGGCTTTGATGCTCTTTAGTGGTAGTATCACTATCAGAGGCACTTTGGCACACAGCAGAGCGTGGAAGTTTTACCGATTTTAAATGGGTTGGTTCATTTTTCTATATATTCAGTGTGTGTACATATGTGTGTGTGTGTGTGTGTGTGTGTGTGTGTGTGTGTGTGTGTGTGTGTGTGTGTGTATACAGTATATACCTATATGTACATAGCACGGAGCTATAGCAGCAGCGGCGGTGACACATGCATCTTTTTGTGGTCTCTGTCTGAACCAGATCTCTTGTACATACAATACATGTCCTTTTAAAAAATGTAATGAGCAGGGAAAATGCTGCTGGGTTAGTCTTTACAACAGTTACTGATATTTATTGAACATAAATATATTAACTAGCTGCTAGCTACCTGTCATTCATTCAATCTTCTAAATATTCAGTCTTAATGGTCCTTTTTCCAGAATTACAACTGTACAATCATCTCATAAAGTTATACTTATAATCACCTGTAGACAGTTGTGATGTTAAATCTTTTTCCCCCTAACATGACAGCCTGTGACCACTGGCCCACTTTTAAAAGATATGTCCTACACATGCACCAGAAAACCATGATGTTAATGTTCCACTCGGATGTCCAGTAATTACAAAGTTTGAACATTTTTCATCAAAACACATATTAAAACTGCTGTGCGTTCTGAAATGGACAAAAAGTTGCAAAATCAGACTTTATTTATTCTTTTTTAAATTAATATAAAGGGACATTGACAAATCGATGATTTCAAACATACAGGATTTTTTCCCAGATTTTTCCCAATTGAATTGATTCTGTGTCGGTTCTTCTCATGTTTTAGCTCCACCCCTCTCATTTTGTGACATAAATTGCATCTTCAGTATTTGGCGCGCATGCGCCAGGACGAGACACGCCCCTTCTTTCTGCGAGCCATGTGGCTGTCGCTGGTAAATAAAGACTCCTACTAATTTTGCTCTTCCGCTGTTTTGTGAAATTTTGCGTAAACTGTAATATCTGCACAGTCGGAGCGGACAAAATGTCTGCCGGCGTCGTGAACCTCCAGGAGCAGGTGGAATCGGTGCTGGGTGCGCTTGTCAAAGCGGCCACGGTGGAGTTGACCAAACTGTTCGAGAGCAAATACCAAGCCTCGGCTGTCGATATGGAGGTGGGCCGCAATGAAGACAAAAGGGTAAATGAAACATTGGAGAAACCGGATAGTTTATCGACTGCCGACACAAAGCGCAGCATCGGAGTGCAAGTGGACGACGGTATTTATCCGCTGTGGGAGCTTTCTGGTAAGTGATTTTTGGAGCTTTAAATGCTACGACTTCCTGTTTACGTCCAGGGTTAGGCTGCAGGGATTGATGCATGAGGGGAGTGCAGACCAGCTGTTTGAACTACATGAAGAAAAACAGAAACACGGTCGATGCAGTCAACACACATTTAACATAATGCGTATGTGCATTTAGTTCTTGCATACAGCGTGTCCGTTTGTAACTGTTGCACCCCTGCAGGGTGTTCCCCATTTGCAAACCCAGTGCAAAGGAATGTATGTCTGAACCCCTCCCCCCCTCTTGTCCACAGGTTCCCCTCTCCTCTCAGATGGTGATTGTCTCGGCGAGTGTAAGGGGGAGGTGGCGGAGAAGTGTTTCATTCCACCCGAAATCCTCCTGGCGGAAAATAATGGCCATGTTGACCCCGAGTGGTCGCCTCTGAAAGAACAGGTCAGTGAGAATTGTGTAAATCATCCGTGAACAGACAGAGTGAAACTGTGGGGAGCTTTGTGACTTCTCCATTAGCATGTCATCATAGCCTTGCCTGTTCTTATTGCAGTACTTTGTTTTTTAAAAGAATGTGTTGTCCCAGGAGTTTATATCAGGTGCTATACAACATACATGCAAATTTGTTATGTTTCTTCTTTAATCAGGTTTTAGCAGGGACTGTGGAAATGGTGGAATTAAGTGTCCTTGAAACAGAGTCTCCAACTGATAGTGACGCCCAAACAGAAGTTGTTTTGCATGGTAAGAAGAAAAGCCACAGCAGCGAGTTGAAATCAAAGGCTGAAACACACTGACAGCCTGGAAGCAGGAACAAAGACATATTACACAAATCAGACTTAATTAGGTTTTTATCTATGGAGGTTTGAATTCCCGAGTACAGATTAAACAAATTTTACCACACTCGCAGGCAATTAGTTTGAACTACACTTTATTTTAATTCATGTTTATAAAATTCAACTTATTTTTCAACATAAACTAGATACTTTACAATACAAATTTTTGGTTTTTTGAGTTGATTATAATGTTTATCATCCTGTCAGTAATCAGAAAAAATATAAGTGACAGGAAATAATATGGATTATATTTGTGTAGCACTTTCCACAAATGTCCATTGAGCTGTTGATGAATAACAGACAAACATGAACATAATATACCCCTGTCGTAAACTAGTAACTGACCCATTGCATGCTGGGAAAGGTTCAACTTCCCTGCAGCCTTGAACAGCAGAAGCAACTTTAAAAAAAGGAAGTAAGGATGGATAAATATGAGATTACACATTAAGAAATAATAAAACAGAAGTGTCACAAATTGTCCAACTTAATGGAGCCATCAGTAAAAATGGCTTTTTACTAACACCTAGTGGCAGCTGTTGTGAACTACAATATCAACAAACTGTTGTCTTTCCCTCTCTGATGTTTGTTGATATAAAGTTGTATAGTGAGATTTTTCTTATATCAAACCAAGCGTCTGCTGGTAATAAGACTTGAGAATGCAAATCATACCAGAACATCTCAACAAGAAGAAGTGAAGGGATGTTGAGGCTGAATGAGGACAGGATGGTGGGAATGTACAATATAATATAAATGTGACCAAATCTTTTTCAGTCTGTGCAGAGACATGGACAGACGCATTAATACATGGATCTACGCAGAGCTCTCCAACTAAACAAAAGCCTTTAGTGATCCAGCCAGACACAAGTGGTATCACTTCTGGGCAGAAGTTTGTTTGCCCATTGATCCTAAAGCCAGAGTCACCAGCTCCCAAATCTGAGAGTTTAAAGGAGCCCGTTCAGGCCGAGCCTCAGCAAGCCTGTGTCAGCACCGCCAAAGGCACCGCCTACAGCCCGTCCCCATCTGATGGAGCCGTGACTCCTGTTCAGGTTGGGGTTTGGGAACGGATCCAGACGCCAAAGGAGACGAAGAACAATCTCCAAATGAAACTGAAACTGACTTGTCCAGATCAAAAGCTGATGCGTCCCTGTGCAGTACAACTTGTGAACATGCTCATGGTGCCCGATTCAGAGATGAAGCTTCAGGATGATGACACTAACTGCAAAAGTGGTTGGCGTCTGCCCAAAGACCTCCGTCGCCACCAAGGTCCTCACACAGGCCATCGCCTCTGCTGCTTCACCCCATGTGGAAACGGCGTTTGGCGTCTCCAAGGGGTCGTCACCCACTCCCGCAACGGATATGATTGCAACATCTGCGGGAAAACGTTCAAACGCAGAAAGATTCTCCGGAGGCACGAGCGCTTCCACACCGGAGAGAAACCGTACTCGTGTTCGGTGTGCTCAAAGACGTTCGCGTTGAGGAAGAGTCTCCGCCGACATGTGAGATTCCACACGGGGGAGAGGCCGCACAACTGCACGCAGTGCGGCAAAAGCTTCCGTCTGCGAGACAATCTGAAAGCACACTTGAGGTTTCACACTGGAGAAAAGCCCTTCAGCTGCACTACGTGTGGGAAGATGTTCAGGATCATGAGGAATCTGGACAAACACAAACTGAGCCAGTGTGAATTCTTTGTCCCTTCATTCAGGACGATTGCTGGCTTGTAGCTGTGGGAAAACAGCTGTCAGTGGCCGGTTGTGTTTTCTACCTCAGACTCTTTTTTTTGGAGACAAAGGTCATGTGAAGTTGAGATAGGAAGAGTCAAAGCTACGAGAGATACAAATCAAGACTATTTGCTGAGATTGAAAGCCATTCCAGAGAGGTTTATGTTTAAACGACAGTAATCGCAGTTGTAGTTTGAACCAGGCTTTTTTTTTTTCTTTTTCTTTTTTTTTTATAAACATATACTACTGATGTTTTTGTATTATTTGTCTTTGTTTCATATATCTTGCTGTATCTTTTCTCTTGTGAATGTGGACCAATATTGGGACCGGGGCAGTGTGTAAAAGTTTTACAACTACTCAACACTTTTTAGCATTACACCATCTTAGAAACACGTGGTCAGTCTGCAAGGAATTCCCTCCTCCTTGCACTTTTAACCAGTTAAACTACATCAGTTCTCTGCTGCTGTTTGGACATTGTTGTGTTTTGTAAATGGATTGAAAAGCATCAGTAAAATATTCTTTCCTGTTTCAAACTTTTTCTTTTTATGTCATTTATTTCTTCTGTTATGATTACTGAATGTATGTAGACTACTTCTTCCTCCTTCAACCTAGTAGCCATGCTGACTTTATTAGAAATCTGATTTCAATGTTTCACTTGGAATAATAATTGTGCTATGATGAGTACATATGGTCAAACATATGTTTTCTTTATAAAGACATAAAAAAGGTTTATATTCCTTAATACTACACTGACAAATGTATGTCTTCATCTTTTTCAGCTTCTGATGCTATATAACATTTTTTCTTTTGTATTAATAAAAAAAAAATGTTTTTGTGGCCAAGAGATATGTTTATCTTTTTTGTGTGAACCATTAATACACACTATAATTACTATGGAGGAAGGATGCTTTCTAATAAAGCACCCTTTTTAAAGTGTCACTCTTAATTGATGGTTATTAAAATATTTTCTAATGCTTTATAGATCACTTTTAAGTCATTAAGAAGAACTACTTTTGGGTTGCCAGGTTATGAAAAATCGCTTTGAATGCTGTTTATCCTTCTCCAGAATGACACTTGCTTTGTCTTTTTAGCCGTTACGTTCACCAGAAAACAGTGAATGGACAGTTTGACCTCTGACCCTTTGGAGAACAGCTACTGGAAATCTTCAGACAAATTGTTATTTTGAAAGTGAGAAACTCAGTGTCTGCTTTATTTATGACTTAATGTGTAACTACAGAGCTGAGGTTATTATCCTATGTTAAATACTGATTAACATTTATAACTGCAGTCCGAATGGCTCATTAGGAAATAAGAAACCCATGAGCATTAGTGAATTTATTTAATTATATTTACTTACTAGCCAGATACATTTTTATAGTTCATGAACCGTTTATGGAAGCGCCTTTTTAGATAGTCTGCCGCCTTATCAGTCAAATAACAGGCACGGTTGAGCTCATTTCTATAGGGTCACTAAATGTCTTAGCCAGACATGCTGTATATTTTTATTTCCAGACAGACTTCTCAATAATGCCGCCATGTCAGTAGCCATATGCTCTAGCAACATTTACCGTAATAAATGTACCTGTACTTATACCCCCTTTCTCACTTAATATTTACATTTTAGGTGAAAGTACGTCATAGAAATTGATGCTAAATTGGTTTAGCATTTCCTGTTAGCACTGTAACCACGGAAACATAGACAACGTCTGAATGTCATGATTATGAGATTTCATGTGCGGATGTTTACAACGTTTAAATACGATGTACGTCAGAAAGTTGGAAAGAGTGAATAGGTAAATACGTTTTACTTTACTTTATTGCTGACTAATAACTTGGAGACAAAGGGGTGCGATTTTAGAGCAAAGTTTGCCACTCGGTAAGGTGTTTATGTTTAAATATGTCGACCGGTTTAACATCACGGTGAGGCGGAGAAGAAAAATAAATTCTGTATTTTATATATTTGTGTATGTATTTATCATATAGGAATTACATGCACAAATAGCCGGACACTTTTACTGAATCGTTATTAATGTGAAAAACTACACCTGTGTTTGAGTAGTCTAAATTATCAGCCAAAATTACTGTAAACAGGTGGGTGTTTTCTTTTACTCATTCTCTTTAAATAAAATATAACAATTATAAAGAATATTACCAATTTTCTGATATCTAATAATAGTATTTTGATAATTTAATCCTGTATTCAACTTTTAAATTGGTAGGTCATTTTTAGAGGCTCTTAACCCTCCTCCTCTTACGCCCCGCCCACCAGGAAGTACGAAGGTAAACTCAGCAGTGCTTTCACTTTTAGCGATGTGTTTACAGACGACAGAAGACAAACAACACTGAGGCCTTGACTTAGCTTTAACTTTGAAGGTAGGATACATTTTACCGATTGCTGCAACCATGTTGCACTCATGAGATATTCAAAAACAAACGAAGTAAGACGTGTTTATTAAAGACAGTAGCTCTGCAGTTAACTCCTTCCTGTCGGCTGTTTTTGTCCTCATGTACTCTTTGAAGGACAGGGATCAAGAATGGAAGATACAGAGAAAACCCAACTCGAGGAAATGTTAATGTGCACAGTGTGCCACGACATCTTCAAGGATCCTCGGCAGCTGCCCTGTGGCCACAGCATGTGTATGGGCTGTCTGGAAAACTTGATGGATCACTCCTCAGACCTTCCCTTCCGCTGCCCCGACTGTAGGTCTTTTTTTGGACAGATTGTCGAGGTCCAGAAGAGCTACACGCTGGCTAACATCGCAGAAAACTTCAGGGAGAACAGGAGGAGGAGGGTACCTGCTATAAGCCTTTTTTCATACTGTCACCCACAAAAATACACTTAGAAGATCTTAAAAGTAAAAAAAAAAACTATAGAAATGCCTGACACACTTTTTTCCACATCTCTGCATTTGATTGTTATAAGCAGGAGGAGCAGACAAAAGTTGTGTACTGCGACTGCTGCCCAGAGAAAAAAACCTTGGCTATAAAAACGTGTCTGAAGTGTGAGGTGTCTATGTGCAAAGAGCATGTCAAGGACCACCAGGAGCTTCCAGTGTTCACGGGACACCCAGTGGTCAGGCCTCTGGGTGACCTCCAGGCGAGGAAATGCCCACAGCATGAAGATGAGGTGCTGAGGTACTACTGCAACACGTCCAGGCGCTACATTTGCAACATGTGCGCCCTGGAGAGAAAGCAGCACAACCTCGCCAGTGAGGCCTCCACTGTCCTGCGGAGACAGCTGACTGTGAGTTTGAATAACACTCCTTCACACCATATTACACAAGAAAAATCTTATCCTTTACAAAAGAAGGTGGTGGGATCAACAGTTTTTGGTGAATAGAGTGAAATTAACCACACTGAGGAGAGAAAGTCCCGTCTCGGACTGTGCTGTGGAAAAACAGGATTTTCAAGTCCCTGAGAATCTATAAATCTGACTTTCAGTTCCCTGCCCCGCCTCATTCAGTCTTCAGTTATTCTTAACCTCTGTAATGTGCAGAAAACTTTGAGCAAACCCACACAATTTTGTTTTACGTTCTAGTACAAGTCCCACAATTTTCAAATATATCTTAAAGAAATGATTTTAATGAACAGTGCAAACATGGAGTCAGTCATGGTTTAATTATCTATATCAGTAGAAACATAAAGCTTTACTGAAGAGCTGGAACAGGCTGATACAGAATATGATGCTGCCTGAGGTAGTTGATGATGATTTTTCAAATTAAGGCTCATTAAGGGAAAATTAAAGGGTAAAATTGGATGTGAAGGGGCTGTTAAAGGTAATACTGTGCGTGTGGATTCAACAGGAGTACATGGACCAGCGCTTCACAGCGCTCAAGGAGCAAATCACAGAATCCACTGACTCCGTAAGAAAACTGAAAGATGACATCCAACGTGAGGTGAGCCCTATTTACTAAATTCTCAATATCTGTGATTTTGAAGGGTTTGCATTTGTCCCTTTTCATAACTTGTATGTATTTTCCTTCTGACAGAAACTTAAAGTGAACCCTGCTGACTCGTGCCTCAACAGCGTCACAGTGGTGCTGCTCTGTATGTGGTTCATCGTTCTGTATTATGGTAAGAGAATTATATCCTTAACTTGGAATCAGCTTATAAAAACGCCATACTATACATGTGTTTGTTGTGTGTGAGTAAGAATTTGCACTCAGTGATGTCTGTCTTTGTTTCCAAACAGCCTATAACTACTCTGTGGAAAATCAGACACTAAGAGAATCACTGGACAAGCAGCAGAACCGTGTGCATCATATCTACTCCACCATTGCAGGTAAGAAGTCAAATTTCTGTTGCCTCTTACGTGACAACAACAAAACTTAGAAGATTAATGCTAATGCATAAAAAATCCTTGGGGGTGGACAAAAATAAAAGAAAGGTTGAGAACTTGTATTTAATGTTTCCAAAAACGTATTTTAAGACACGTGACATCGTTTCAAATCACAGGGATTGAATTAGAATCAGTCAACAGCTGTGCTTTCTGATCTCATGCTCTACTTCATTATTAAGTCATCCAACTTGCATAAACATTCTGTGTTGTTTTCCAATAAATATTCATCCATATAACTTTTTTAATCCCTACATAGAACTCTTGGTTGAGCATCCATTGAAGAGCTACACACCTCCAGAAACAGAAGATAAAGGTACGAAAGACTGATGTGTTAAAAACAAGGCGTCTGAATGGAAATGTCTGTGCTGGAGTACACTAACAAGCCTGATGGAAATACTATAAATAAAGATTTTAAAATGTTGGGGAGAGCCAACTAAGTTGCCCCAATAGTTAAGGATGAACTTGGTTTGGTTCTCTGGCTAATGGACACTCTTGCATGTACAACTCTGGATTTAGTTTCTCCATCTCATCATCAGTAAAAGAATATGAGACCGATAAAAGCAATAAAAATTTTAATCTGCATCACCATTGTGAGACTCCCACTTTTATTTCAGCATGTTGACCATCGTTACATTTTTAATCATCTTTTTTTGTCCTTTACTGACTACTATATAACTTGAGTTGAGGCACCTGAAAGCATGACAGAGAATGATCAGAAACCTCTATGAGATGTTTACACATCAGAGAATCTATCAGATAACGCCATTCTCCTGACGTATCCTGGTGTCTCTAAACTTGAATGAGGGGCTATTCTGGTTCCTGAAACCAGAATCTATATCTATAATATATATAATATATAATCTATATAACACACAAATAGAGAGGTTTATGGTTTTAAAGTGAGACTGTGTAACTTACTAAACAACAAACAAAGATAATGATAAATGCAAGAAACTAACAGCAGAAGTAAAGGATAAGTCATGAAGTCAGCAAACTGGCTAAATATTATTAACTACAGAGAAATATCTAATTAGCTCACAATAGCTGCCATAAGATAGTGGCCATAAAGACCAAGGCTGTAGCTGCAAAACCCCTTGAGTTTGGCAAGATGAAAGATGTCATCAACCAAAAACTCAAGGAAAATACATGTAAGTAAAATGACATATGCAGGATCTCAGGGAAGAGCGTTGCATAAACATCACATCTATTACTGAAGTCCTCAAAACCCAGAAAATGATATTCATGCCAATAACTACTTGTATTTTGCTCATGTATTATAAATTGGAGTAGCATCAAAATGGTGTATGTAAACCTAAATGGTCTGTCTGTCTCTCAGGATTTCTCATGCTGGACGTGGACACTGTCAGTCCTTTCCTGGGAGTCTCTGCTGACTTCCAAACAGTGGAGAGAGTGAAAGGCAAGCTGGGTTATCCCAACAGTATCAATCGCTTTGATGAAGCTCCGCAGATCCTCTCAGCCCGGTGCTTCTCCTCTGGTACCCACATCTGGGAGGTGCAGGCTGAGGGGTACTGGGACATCGCCGTGTCTTACAAGAGCATCCAACGCAAGAGCAAGTACAACAGTGCCTTTGGAAACAATCGAGAGTCCTGGAGCCTAACACACAACGGCAATGGCAAGCTGTCTGCTTATCATAATGGTGCGAAAACAGTTCTCCCTGGAACCCTGCAGAGCAGCCGAATAGCAGTGATGGTTAATTTTGAGAAAGGCAACATCACATTCAGCGCTGTGGAGTCCACCATCACCAAGCTGCATGAGTTCAAGGCTAAACTGACTCAGCCAGTGTGTCTGGGTTTGGGGCTTTACCGTGTGGATCCACCCAGCCGAGCCTCTATTGTCAAAGCTTCCTGATTCACAATTCAGCTGCAGCTGCATCCAGACTGCCTTAGGTCCAGTGGCTTTCTCTGAAAGCAGAGGAATCTAAGAGAAAAGACCAAACTAAGTCAAAGCTATAAGCTGAGCTGCCTCAGGTATATTTTTGTATTGCAGATTCTTTTATGGTTTGTATATTATGTTTACTTAACTGGTATTTTCTTTGATTGTAGATGTTTATTTCAACATCAATTTAAGTGTGCAATATACAGTATTTTTATACAAAGTGTTCATAAGAGGGAAATCAATATGGGGCTATGATTGCACTGTGAGACAATATAATTTATATGTAATAATATATTTTTAAAAAAATACATAAACCTCAATGTTGAAGCTCTTTTAATGAATGATAGACAGTTTTAACACTTTGACAGGAAAAACAACCGTGTTGTCCAAGGGTTTAGGTTTGTATATGAACTGTCAGGACATGTCCCTTCCAATATTTTGGGAGGACAGAATTGTCCCTACCCTATTTGAGTGAACTTGTTTGCACTATGTTTGGAGTGAAGTAATATTAGATAATTCCAATGTCCCTCCAAAAGGCTATGTCTCCAAGACAACCGATTTAGGCATGCTAGAATTTGATTGACTGAAAGGGTGGGGGCTATCTGAAGGCTCAAGTCATTTGAGAATATCACAGTGGATACTTAACATCATCAGGAAAATGTCAACTGATGTTATTTAACCATGTTAGCTAGTGTTAACTAGCAAGCTAACCCTGGCTTCTGTCTTTTGTAGGCTAGCAGTGAGGTTGCGAGAAGGAGTAAACCAAAAAATGGTGGATATATCAAAGTATGATTTTAATTTCTGTTGAAAAATGCCATGAAAATGTCATCATGAATACTATGACTTATACCTTTGTATACGATATTATGCCACGGTAGTGCAGTGGTACAGTGGTTAGAACTGTCACCTCACAGTGAGAAGGTTCTGGGTACGAACCCTGGGCCTGGGGGCCCAATTGAAGCTTGCATGGAGTTTGCATGTTCTCCTGTCTGCGTGGATTCTCTCCAAGTACCATGGCTACCTCCCAAATCCAAAGACGTGCACGTTAGATTTACTGGCAACTAATGCCTTAATATACTATGAAATTTTTATACCATAATATACTATGACATTTTTATGCCTTACTATACTATGACTTTTTTATGACTTACCATGACTTCTTATCCCTTACTATACTATGAAGTTTTTAAGCCTTACTATTCTGACTTTTTTTTTCAAGCTTTACAATACTATGCCTTTATATGTTTTACTATACTATGACATTTTTAAGCCTTATAATACGTAGACTTTTATAGGCCTTACTACACTATGATGTTTTTATGACTTATTATTCTATGACCTTTTATGCCTTTGTTAGGGACCAAGCAGTGAGGCAACAAGAACACAGGAATGTTTTGAAAAAATAGGGGTTTTATTTAACTGAACATTATGAAACAAGCAAAGCTCACTAAACCCAACCCACCATCCCCCCCATAAGGCATCAACAGTTGGCTTGGTCCAATCAGCTGGCTCCCAGATTTAAGAGTCCTCATCCTTCAGCCACGCCTTTTGCTCCACCAGGAAAGGATCTGCCAACAACCGCAATAACTCAACACAAAGAAGCAAATGATTAATACAACAGAAAATTACCTATGTAACCCTACAGTGTTGAAATGTGTGCTCTATATAAAGCAATGTAGGGCTAAAGCAAATAAACAGATTCTGAAGCAATTAAAGTGTGTGTGGTATCGAATTGTTTTTTATGCCTTACTATACTATGACGTTTTTAGGTCTTGCTATACTATGACGTTTTTTTTTACGTTTCTATGCCTTATTGTACTATGACATTTTATGATGTTTTTTTGCCTTACTATACTGTGACTTTTATGCATTACTGTACTATGACGTTTTTATGCCTTTCTAAACTATGACTTTTCTACGACTTAATATGACTTTTTATACCTTACTGTACTATGACGTTTTTAGGTCTTGCAATACTATGACTTTTTTTTGACATTTTTTTTGCCTTACTTTACTATGACTTTTTATGCCTTATTGTAATATGATGTTTTTTTGCCTTACTATACTATGACGTTTTTGGGTCTTGCCATAATATGAGGGTTTTTTTTACATTTCTATGCCTTATTATACTACGACATTTTTTTACATTTTTTTGCCTTGCTATACTGTGACGTGTATTGACTTTTTTTTGCCTTACTATAAGAAGACATTTTTATGCCTTAATATACTATTAGTTTTTTTGAATTTTTTTTGCTTTACTATACTATGACATTTTTTTGACATTTTTTTTGCTTTAATACACTATGATGTTTTTGTGTCTTATTATTTTATGACATTTTTGTGCCTTACTATACTATGACGGTTTTTTTTACATTTTTTTGCCCTACTATACTATGACGTTTTTTTGACATTTTTATGCCCTACTATACTATGACATTTTTTGACATTTTTATGCCCTACTATACTATGACATTTTTAGGTCTTGCTATACTATGACGTTTTTTTGACATTTCTATGCCTTATTATACTATGATGTTTTTTGACATTTTTTGCCTTACCATACTAAGACTTTTTTATGTCTTAATATACAATGAATTTTTTTGACATTTTTATGCCTTACTATACTATGACATTTTTAGGTTTTGTTATACTTAAATGTTTTATTAAAGTTTTATGCCTTATTATTCTATGACGTTTTATGCC